AAAAGGGGTTTCCAGGTTTTCAGAAATCATTAGCTGATTTACTTGTGGAAGATACGAAACTCAATTGGCAGCAATTTTTATCGCTGCCAATTTTACTGCTTTGATTGATAGTAGCTAAATCAATTTTTGAGCGCATTATTATTTACATTTAGTGCAAAACTACCATGCCTTTTGACTTGATTTATTTTAAAACATTGCATATCAATGGATATATAAACGACGATATTATTGTTTTTTTTTTTAAGCATAAGCGTAGTATTTGAAAATTTCGTATTTTATATTTCAGATCAAACATATAGCGCCATCCACTCATCGGCGTAATCGGCGGTCATCATTCTGTAAGTTATGAACAACTTCAAGCTTCAACAGTTACAGTTACAGTTTGTGAAATGACTGAAGGCTGAATGATAAGATTATACCAATTGCTGAAAAGACGCGCATAGAACGCGACGAACAAAAGCTGTCAATTCGACTTTACACAAGGCAGCAAGGAGAGCAAGCTAAATCCTGTTAAATCCGTACATATTGTGCCAATATGACGTTTTTACGATCAGTTGGGGAAGTGATTGGCTTCCTATTGTTGTCAATCTTTGCGATACTCAAGGGCATGATCAAATCATTCATTCCCAAGAAGTACAAAATGAAAAGTATAGACGGTGAAATTGCTCTCGTAACAGGGGGTGGCGGTGGATTGGGTAGGCTTCTATCTCTCAGGCTGGCCGACCTAGGTGCTATCGTCATAGTTTGGGATATAAATGAGATCGGTGAGTGAAATGAGAAAATTGAAAAAAAGAATAAAATCGCAAAATTTTATGTTTCTTGCAACAAAATAGAGAAAAGAAATTTTACACAAATCATCAATTTAACTTGTTCAAAAAGAAGATATATATTTATAAGACTAATAAAAGTGTAAGAAATTTAATAAAGACTAAGTAAATATTCTAAATTGAATAGAAAGATTGCGACAAGCCAATATGCATGATAAGCCAATATAATAATCATTGCAAAAACATAATAAGTGTAAGATGTTACGGTTCGAAGAATGAATAATACCTGCTGATGATAAAATATGATAAAATTATTAATAATGTATAAGTTTTTTTTCACTACGTTCTATAAAAAGATTGCGACAAGTATGCATGATAAGCCAATATAATAATCATTGCAAAAACATAACAAGTGTAAGATGTTACGATTCCAAGACTGAATAATATCTGCTGATAAACATAATTTTATAATTTTACATATAATTTTATGAAATATTAAATTCAAATTATGGAATATTAAATTCAAATATTAATTTCAAATTATAAAATATTAAATTCAAATATTATAATGATATAACATATTAAAAATATCTATCTGCGCGGCACATGTTGTTCATTAGACATTTATATGTATAATCTTCGTATTTTTGTATCTATCTTCTATCTAGTATCTAGTATTTGTATCTAGCATCTATCTTCACGAAAAATTAAATAAATCTCTAATAGAGATTCATATTATCTCTATGATAAATGTTCTTTATCTTTATAAATTTTTATTATAGATGTTTACGATACTTTTTAAGGATATATGATTGATTTAATACATATCGATTAATATTCCATAGAACAAATATTTCTAATGGATGTTTATTTGATGTCTATTATTAAGATTATTATTAAGATTATATATCTATTATTTGAAATCTTAATTAAACGTTAATGTATTTTTTGTAAATGTTTGTTGAACATTTATAAAATTTCTGCATTTTTTATTTTATTAAATGTATTCGTAAATTATGTCTCTTAGACATTATATTTTAAATAGACATTTTATAAAATCTTACTAATATTAAAAAGAAGACAATTAAATATTACTTCAATGAATTTTCGATTACATTATAATTGAAATATTAATTGAAAATATTAATGTTAATGTTAATGTTAATGCTGTAAAAATAATAAAAAAGCTTACTAAAATAATTTCTTTAAGTATGCAAAAAGAATTGCATTAATAGCAGGACAGATTTTATTATTTGTAAGATAAGCGAGCGCTTAAAATCTACCCTAATAGTAACTTTGTCAAATGTTGCTTGACATTTAAGATTACCAGACGTACTCTTTCGAAGAGTACATATATTCTTTTTGAATGAGACACAATAAAATATTATGTGACCATATCATATTTCCGCAAATAATTTAAAATATTCACAGACATAAATCGACCATCTGATATTCTGATTAATTTTAATAATAATACTGTAATAACATTATTTAACAGAAAAAAAAAGAAAAATGTCAACGAAAAAGAGAATAAGTATTTCTCATAGTTTTTTAGACGCTGAATATTTATGGTAAAGTTGATGAAATTAAAATAATAGAATTAATTTAAAAAATAAATTATAAAAAAACGAACGTTCTTTTAATGAAAATTTTTTGACATTTATGATATTAATTCTGTTACTTTGAATTTATCAACATTGATGGATTAGTATTCAACAATTTGAAAAAGTTGTAAATTCAAATATTATAATTAAAAAGACATTTGATAGATTTTTAATAACCTAAATGTATAAATCGCAATTTTAATACCTAATATACAATAATATAATATAATAAATCTAATATAATAAATTCTATGTTAATTGTGAATTTTTAACCGTAATTAACATAACAAATTTCTTTTAAGAATTAAAAGTTGTAATAATTAATTTAATTTTGATTAGAATAGAATCTCTTCAAAACATGTTATAGTTACAATATACTAAAATAATTCTTCTACTCTAATATTTTTTTGCAATTAGAACTTACAAATTTTTTAAAATTATAAACTTAGCAGAGGAATTGTATTTATGTGCCTAAAAAGTTATAATATATAATTCCTGTTTTTATGTTCAGACAAAAATAATTTATTATTGAAAAATATAATTAATGATTAATTAATAATATCCCTTAGTATTAGTGTGAACAATATTGTGAATTTATTTAAAATTACGAGTTTTTTTTAATACAAAACTTATCAATATAAAAACGTGACTAATAATTTTAAAATAAAAAACGATTAAAATTTACAAGAATTGATGAAATTTACAAGTATTGATTGGTTTTATTGCGTTTTTTATTAAGTGATAAAAGTCTTATTCATTTAATACCACTTAATATCACCATTACCATTTAATATCACTTAATATACATTAAGTATTTATTTCATTCCCCGCTTTAAATAAAAATTTAAAATGGAATTTTATTTAACAAGAGACGGCAATAGCTCTCCACTAAGTAAACATTTTAACGATTCATGAACGATGATATTGACCTGTGTATTTGATTTCAATGTACGAGATATCTTATTGTTGAATACTTGAGATTATCAGCTATAAATAGCTATATCGATCAAGTTCTTTGTAAACTTAATTCATTCTTAATTCATTCTTAACTCATTCTTCAAAATAAATCTTTATAAAAAATATTTTTGTCATTTATATTATCAAACATATATATATATATATATAATATGTGATAAGAATATGATAATAATATGGTTATATAAAGTTCTTATAATTTATA